CAGGTGGCATGGTAGTTAAGGAGTTTGATCCTCCATGGCTGACTCCATGGTTTGAGTCCTCAGACAAGTCCCCTTTTGTGTGAATGCCTCAAATCCCAAAATAAGAATGGAGGAGAAGGGAATGGTTTATCCATCCTCCTGGGGTGATTTCTCATTTAAAAAATACCCAAAAAAACAATATCTGAGATGAAAAATATACAATGTATGGATAAGATTAAGGGCAGATTGGGCCAGTAGGGGGTGTAGTGGTTAAGGTGCTAGACTCCCACATGGCTGACCAGGGTTCGAGTCCCAGACGCAGTGGCTTGAAACTTATACTAGGTGTGTATGCATGTGTGCCCAAAGTCCTGAGAGGATTGTGGTGTGGCCATCCCCCTGGGGGGTGATTTCTCACTTTCTCTCTCTCTCTCTCTCTCTCTGTCTGCCTGGCAAATACATGCACCCTATAGGAAAAAAATTTCTCTAAAAAAAAAAAATAAGGTTAAGAGCAGACTATACACAGCAGAAAAAAAGATTCATGCATCTAAAGACACAGCAAAATGAAAATGAGATCCAAAATGAAAATGAGAAAAAAAAAAAAGACTGAGAAAAAAATGAAAAGATCATCAGTAAATGGCTGGAAGAGCAACAAGTGGTCTAATATATGTCTGTTGGAAATCTAAAATAAGGCAAGAGAGGAGATCAGAGAAAGTTTTTGGAAAAAATAATGGCTGAAATTTTTCAGTTTGATGAAAATCATAAACCCATAGATAAGAGAAACACAATCTCTATATAAAATGAACAGGAAGAAAACTACATGAGTCACATCATACTTTGCATTCAAACATCCAGACCCAAGAAATACAAAGGACGCCAAATAGAATCAACCTATGAAGATCCTCTCCATGGCATGCCATAGCCATATTGGCCAAAATCACAGATAAAGATTCTAAAAATGGCAAAGGAGAAAGTCAAGTTGCAATACAAAGGCTATCCCATCAAGCTTACATGGGACTTTTCAGAAGAAATGATGCAAGCAAGGAAAGAATGGTAAGATATATTCAAAGTGTTAAAAGAAAAACAATTTCAACCAAGAATTCTATACCTGGCAAAATCATCCTTCAAATGGGAAGAAAAGATAAAAACATTCTCAGATAAACAAAGCCTGAAAGAATTTACCAACAGCAGTGGTAAATTCTTTTTAAGAAGTGCTAAAGGGAGTGCTATACCAGGAAAACTAGAGAGACAGACAGTAATAAGAGAACAAGGGACCAGCGGAAGGCCTAATGGTTATGTGCTGGACTCCCACATAGTCAATAATGGTTCAAGTCCTGGACTCAGTGACTTGAAATTCACACCAGGCATGCGTGTATGAGTGCCTAAGATCCCAAGAAAAGAATGGAGGAGAAAGGATTGCGGCGTAGCCATCCCCCCTGGGGGGTGATTTCTCGTTTTCTGTTTCTCTGGTTAGCACACATGCCCTATAGCCAAAAGCTCTCAAAAAGTTAAAAAAAAAAAAAATGAGCACCAGTTAGCGTAATGGCTATGCCGCTGGACTCCTATGTAGTTGACTATGGTTCGAGTCTTGGACCCGGTGGCTTAAACTCACGCCGGGCGTGCATGCCAAAGATCCCAAGAGGAGAATGGAGGAGAAGGGATTGCAGCGTGGCCAACCCCCCTGGGGGGTGATTTCTTGCTTTCTGTTTCTCTGTCTCTGTCTGTCTGGTGAGCACACGGACCCTATAATGGAAAAACAACAACAACAACAACAACAACAACAAAAAACTTTCTCTAAAAAAAAAGAAATAAGAAATAAGAGAACAAAAACAACCAAGAAAATGCTTAACATAATGGTAAGAACAAGTCTGAAAATACTGATAATAACGTTGAATGTTATTGGATTAAATTCTCCAATCAAGAGATACAGACTGGCTGAACCAATGAAAAAACAGAAACTGTCTAGCTATTGACTATAAGAAACACATCTCAAGGATAAAGACATACATAGAATAAAAGTGAAGGGCTGGAAAAAGGCATGGAAACCAAAAATGGGCTGAAGTTATGATACTGATTTCAGACAAAATAGACTTGAAGACAAAAACTGTAAGAAGAGACAAAGAAGGGCATTATACAGTAGTAAAAGGGCTAATTCATCAAGAAAATATAACTCATAAATGTCTATGCACCCAACTCAGAAGCACCCAAATACAATGAAAGAAAGATTGCTAGATCTAAAAGGAGTGATAAACTGTAAGACATTAATAGTTGGGGATCTCAACACCTTGCTATCTCCTTTGGACAGATCATCTAGACAAAAAATAAACAAACAGATACAGGATCTAAGTGATACCATAAGTCAAATAGACTTGACAGACATCTATAGAACCTTCTACCAAAAAACCATTAAGTACACATTTTCTCACCCCTTCATGGAACCTTTCTGAAGACTGACCAAATGATGGGCACAAAATAAGCCTTTATAGATTTGAAGGCATAAAAACTTTATCCAACATATTCTCCAACCATGATGAAATTAAACTTGATATTAATTTCAGAAAAAAAATCTTGAAAATACACAAACACATGGAAACTAAACAACCTACTGAATTTAGTACTCCATAACTACTAAAGAAATTAAGACTGAAATCAAAAGATTCATGGAAACCAATGATAATGAGTACACGAGTTGCCATAATCTACAGGACACAGCAAAAGCAGTCATAAGAGGGAAGTTCATAGCAATTAGTGCTCATACAAAAAAGATGGAAAGGTGACAAATGGACAACTTCACATCATGCCTCAGGGATTTGGAAAAACATACTTCACTTTCATTGATAAAGAGAAATGTTTAAAAGCAGTTAAAAGAAAAAAGAGAGACATTACTATACAAAGGAAAGACATAAAAATGATAGCAGACTTCTTGTCAGTAATAGGATTGCACGCCAAAAGATAAGTGGAGAGTCATGGGACCAGCAGATAGCATAATGGTGATGTTGCTGGACAACCATGTAGTCGACTACAGTTTGAGTCCTGGACCCAGTGGCTTAATATTCACGCTGGGTGTATATGTGTGTGCCCAAGATCCTGAGAGGAGAATGGAAGAGAAGGGACTGTGGCATGGCCATTGCCCTGGGGGCTGATGTTTTGCTTTTTGTCTGTCTCTCTTTCAGGCAAGCTCATGTGCCCTGGAACAAAATTCTCTCTCTCAAAAAAAAAAGAAAAAGTGGAGAATCAATTTTTAAAACAAAAAATTTTTTGAGAGGTTTTTGCTATAGGGCGCGTGAGCTCGCTAGAAAGACAGAGACAGAGAAAGAAAGAGAGAAATCACCCCCCAAGAGGGATGGCCACGCCACAATGCCTTCTCCTCCATTCTTCTCTCAGGATCTTGGGCACACACACACACATGTGCCTGGCATGAGTTTAAGCCACCAAGTCCGAGACTTGAACTGCAGTAGGCTACATGAGAGTCCAGCGACATAGCCATTACGCCAACTGTTGGTCCTGAGCCATTTTTAAAGTACTGAAAGTGAAAAAGCAAAATAAAAGAATTGTAATAGTATACACCAAAAAATACTTGTTAAAAACAAAGGCAAACTACTTTTTTTTTCCAGACACATGAATGCTTATCAAATTCACCAGCAGATTATTACTACAAATTATCACTCAAGTGTGAGGACAAAGTAAGGGTACTTCCCAACAAATCTTTTCTTTTTAAGTTTATTTTGTTCTTTCATGAGAAAGAGAGACAGGCACCCTTAACACGGTCTTCACACTGTGAATACCCCCAGCTTCAGTCAGTCTTGGATCATAGGCACGAGTGCATCTGGAATGTTCCTGAAGGTCTCTGGATGTGAACCCAGAATCTTCCCAAAGGGGACACCCCACTGAGTATTGATTACTCCTGCACCAGTCTGGCTCCTTCCCAAAAAATCTTGAAATGTTTATCTCCCAAAGAATTATCAGGTATATTCTCCATCATAATAAAATAAACTAAAAGGAGACTAGTAGTAAGATGTAAAGAATAATTCTGAGGAAAGAACTTTGGGGATGAGAAAATGCAAAAGGGTTCTCTTCTACTATCTAGAAGGAGCATACAAATATAGATTAATTCTAGATATTAGAAAAAATTGAAGTATGTGTATTAAAAAATACTAAAGGTATCCATTAAGAAATTTAACTATATTTTACCATGATATTTTATTAAAAAAATCCTATATTGACTAACTATATTAATTAACTCACAAAGACACTATTTACAACCTTAAAATAAAAGCATAGCAACTCTAATCAAAATTCTATTACCATCTAATTGATTTATTTCCTATGTGAGGGTGATGTTTCATGAGATGCTGAGCTAACAAAAACCATCATCAGTTGTTTGGTGGACAAAAACTCAAAAGGCTTTTGTGAACGTTTATGAGTTGAAACTATTATAAATTTTAATTTGTGAAACAACAATCTAGAATCTGAATATTGTGCTGGTATATGACTTAACTTAGTTAACTGGCATAATTAGAGGCTATAATATAATTTTATTTCTAATTTGATTTTGAGCAAATAAATAGTTACACATTTACTTACCCAAATATTTATTTCCCATTTTTCTTTTAAAATTCTTGGCTACTTAGAAGTACTTAAAACCAAAAGCACGCTGGGGGAAAAAGTCCAGCAAGATAAGAACTTATTTCTTCAATATGAATATCTGTGTTGCTACACCTATTCCTACTCATTGTACAGGAAAGACACAGATATTAATTTATTTCCAATCAACCAAAGCAGTAACAGAATTTCACCCGTGACATATAAAAGATATAGAAGGGAGGTTACAAACGTTAGGATATATCATAATTTTATACTCTGCAAATGACTTTTGAGTATCTTTTATTTCCTATTATTATAAATAGATTGCTAGGTGCAATTCGTTTTATTTATACTTACCTTATTAGAGATCTTCACTTTGAATACTAATATGTTAAATATATATATTAAATATGTTCAAGATATATATATTAAAAAAATACCATATGTCCTTCTGCTCGAGCTTTATTTCGCATAGCCTCCCGTTTTCGTTGCAGGAACTCTTCCACTTGCTTAGCTCTTTCTACAGTTAGTTGTCCTTTTTGCCTAATTTGGACAAATCACAAAGTTAGCAATCCTTGACATGAAACATTCTGAAAATGTAAAAAATTACACTTATTTGAATTTTTTTCACTGAAGAATCTGAAGAAAGGTTGATATAAGTTTTTCTGTAATAAAGAAACCACTTTACATACATTGATAGATATTTAATAAATCATATTCTTTACCATTTTAAACAGAATTAAAATCTAAACACTGCTCCAAATCTTCACAAGAAGGTTTCTTTTACATTTATTTGAGTTATTCTACACACTTATAGACATATGAAATTCTTTCAGACTAAACTTAATTATAGAAGAATCTTAATAGTTTCCAAATTTATTTCAGATTTCTAGATCAAATTAATAAGCATCTTCTCTAACTGGTATGACATAGAATGAGAGCAATGGAGTAGCAATTCAAAAATGAACAAAAAACAGGGACTAGCATGTAGTGTGGTGGTTAAGGCACTGGACACTCACATGGCTGGCCATAGTTTGAGTCTCAGACCTGGAAGCTTGTGCTCTCTCTCTCTCTCTGTGTGTCTCTCTCTAGTGAGTACACATGCTCTGTAGCAAATTTTTAAAAAAGATGATAAATAAAATTAAATAAATAATTCCTTTTCAAAAAATTAAAAAGAAGAAAAAGCTTACTTCAATGTGAATTTTAAAAAATACATAAAAGGCTATGTCTTAATTCCCTGAATATTACAATTATTAAAAAGCAAAATGAGTAGGTTAGGAGAAAATTTACAAGCCTAGTTATTTGTTATAATCTTTTCTAATTTTCTTTTTTTTATTTGTAAAATTTATTTTATACTGAGGAAATAAATCACAATGAGTTAAAATGTCAACATGTTACCTTAAATATTTTATAATCATCTTTTTAAAAAATTTTTCTTTTACTTCATTAGAGGCATGCAATTTTTATTGATGGCAGAAAGAAAAAAATATCCTACTTTGTTTTTTTTGGTATAAAGTATTTTCATTTATTTCAGTGTTCTGATGTTGGCTGCATATAGGTTTATAATTGCTATATCTTTCTGATGAGTTGACCCATTTATCATCAGATAGTATCCTTTTTAATCTCTTTGCCAGTTATTTTTTTTTAATTAATTATTTTTTCATTTCATTTTCTTCCATACATTCAATCACATTATTATTTGTCTTAAAAAAAATGGATATTTCAACAGGTGAACATTTCTCCCTAGTACTGTTGATAAAACTACAAAATATCTTCAACAGATAATACCACACCTCTTTGTGCCATTAATGCTTTTTCTCCCTGTCCCTCCCCCAAATTACCTTCCTCAGACCATCCTCTTTCACACACACTATATCTGGTATTTACATCTACATACTGCATTTCTATATCCTTTAGACCATTAGTTTCAGTCACAGAGTGCAGACACTCAGTATATATTAAGCGGGGCCATACAATGCCCCTCCTTCATAGCATGGCTTGCTTCACTTTATTTTTCTGATAATTATGAAAGAATGCTAACATGTTGAGTCTAGACTACAAATAAAAATTACAAATACTATTTACTGGGCATCTACCATATACTGTGCTGGTTACTGTACTAAGTTTAGAAGTCATTAAAAATAAGTAAAACCCAGTACCAATAATCAGAGAATTCATAGTACAACATCAATCACTGTTGATTTTGTAGATGAAGAAAAAAGAAGAGCTAGTTACTCTGTGCTTTTACTTGGCTTTTGGCTAGCAAAGCAAACAAACTTCCTATAGCTTCTTTTAAGAAGTTATGTCAGAAAAATACATGAAATAATGCCTTTCTGTCTTCCAGTAATATTTAAATACATTAGATTTACACATCTCAAATAATCATTTCTTTTTATTTTTTTGGCAAGAACTGAAACATACAAAAAACTACTTTAAATATGAAATTGAGCAGTAAAAAGCTATATGTTCCATCATACAGCTATGAATGTTAATAGTCCAAGGTTCATGTATTGCATGTGGCACTTAGAAAACCCTTGCGTAATTTCATCATTGGAATTTTCTAGGATTATATAATCTCCACAGCTGATTTAAGGGCCTATTACTATGATTTCTGTACATGTCTAGGTAGCTAAATATTAACCTTCTGGGTTGTCAGTAAGATCATGATGTATTTTTTCTACGCAAAAATACATCATGACCTTTCTGACAATTCAATAGTTCTGCATCGCTAAGTTTAGAAATGTACTTACCATAACATGTTAGCGTGAGTAGGTTGACAATAATAAATGAGAAAAAGTGTGCATGCCTCTGTAGCGTATATGTGCTGTCTCCTTGCAGGTACATCTGGAGTGAAAGTAACATTTCTCCTGCATACATCTAGGTCCGGCTTTATACTGCTCTAAGATAGCCTCATTTTCATAAGGCTGGAACTCAAGAGCATAAAATCTTTAGGTGTGATGCTCAGACATGTCATCTGAAGCCAAGAAAGAGCTTATAGCTCTTTCTTGAGGAGAAGGTATCCTGGGAGCCCATACGACCAAGTGCAATGAGATAAAATAAGTGATCTCCCTGTTAGGTATCCTGACTGTGCCAACTTTCTTCCTAAACCTTCATAGAAGTAAAATATGTTTGATTTCCCATCCCAAGATACTGTTTGTGTCCACTGTTTATCACTCTGAACCTCTCAATGGCATGTTTATAACAGCAGTTGCAAAGAATTTTTTTTTGATTGCCAGAGGGCACATGCTCTCACCAGAGATAGATAGATAGAGAAAGAGAGAGAGAGAGAGAGAGAGAGAGAGAGAGAGAGAGGAGAGAAGAGAAGAGAAGAGAAGAGATAAGAAAAAAGCACTACCTAGGAGGCCTGGTCAAGCCACAAGTCCTTCTCCTCCATTCTATAACCTTTTGGGATTTGAGGTACATATGCACACATGCCTGGCATGTTTTCTAAGCCACTAAACTGGGATGTGAACTATTTTGTCAACCATGTGGGATCTAGCTCCCTTAATCGCCAAGCTAGGGGGACAACCCTGAAATGTATATTCCTATCAAAAGATATGATTGGGGCTGATAATTTAAAAAACGAGCTCACTTGGCAAAATTAAAGTTGGAAGTACTCAATCAGGTTCCCAATTTAATTCTTTTGCTTTACTGGCCAAGTAAGTAACTGTCAACCTACCAAGGCCAGAATAATCAGCAGGCATCAGCAAGGCAAAAAGGAGGCAAATGTATTTCAGTAAAGGGGAGCAACAGATGCAAAGGAACAAATAAAAGAAAAAAACATGTTAATTACCTCAGGACCCTGCACTTAGAAGTACTGAAAGAGGGAGTAGCAAGATAATGCTATGGAAGTCGACAAACCCCTAAGAGAACTTACAGGTCATCTAGGTGCTGCAATTTGATCCAAGGGGCAATACAAAAATCATTAGTTCAGTTTTCATGATGTATCACTATATTGCTTATATGCCTTTTCCAAGTGTTTATTTATGCAGATAGTTTTTCTAAAGTATATCAAATTTATTCCTTTTAAATTTCATCTAAACCAGGTAAATTGTAGCTATAGTCTACCGAGATTTTGTCTCCTGATCAATCATACAAAATATATACCATTTCTTTCCACTTTATGTTCCAGAAATACGATAACTATAAGAACAAATACATCCTTTGAATATTTTCCCCATGCCTTTCTTCCAAATGAAGATTAAGGGGGCCCAGACATGGTGGTATGTGCTGCAAGATGCTATACTCCATAGGGCAGGATCATATGGGAGGCCCAGGTTCAATTCCCAGGTCAACACCTAAAGTCTGGGACTGGTAGCTTGCACCTGAAATCCCAATGCCATGGAAAGCTAAGGCAGGAGGACTACAAGCTTGAGGCTGGCCTGAATAACACAAAGAAATCCTATCTAAAAGAAGGGTGGGGTATGGTGGTACCTGCTTATAGTACTAGCTACTCAGGACACTGAGGCAGGAAGATCATGACACAGCATGGACTCTGACTCAAAAAAAATTCAGAGCCTGTCCCATAGTAGTGGTTAAGCTCTGTGTATAGGAAGCTGGATTCCACATGGTTGACTATGGTTCAAATACTGGTCCAGTAGCTTGGAAAACATACTGTGTGTGTGTGCCCCAAATACTGGAAGGATAGAAATATGAAGAAAAAGGAATTGTGGCATGACCATGCCCCCATTAGAGGTGTGCTTTTTCTCTCTTTCTGTCTCTGTTGGGCAAGTGAATGTATCCTCTGGCAAAACAAAACAAAACAAAGAACAAAATAATAAGTAGGGGACAATCCATGATCTGTGGCTAAGGCAGCTGAATCTCACATGGCCAGTTGCACAGTTTGAGTGCCAGATCCAGTGGTTTGAAAAACACACCAGGCTGCATGTGTGTGTGCTCAAAACCCCAACAGGAGGGAGAAACAGGGGAGAAGGGACTGTGGCATAACCAAACCTCACAGGAATGTTTTCTCGCTTTCTCTCTCTTTCTCTGTCTCTCCTTGGAGAGCCCATGTACCTCTATGGAAAATTTTTAAAAATACAATAAACAAATGTAAAAAGGTTATTAAAGGAGAATTAGTCTTTAAAGTGTTTATTTGAATGACATAAAAATATTAACCAGCCACTCTGAATAGTTCTTCACCTAGTAAATATACTCCTTAACAATCTTCATATTTTTTCAGTTAATCTAAATCAAGATGTACTAGAAATGAATGCTTAAAAAGTTTCTAAGAAATGTTTAAGTGTTTAAAAGCTGATCTCTACAATTGGATGCACTTACTTTATTTTTCTTCTGTGTGTGTGTGTGTGTGTGTGTGTGTGTGTGTGTATGTGTGTGTGTGTGTTGGGGTGGGTATTTTACACAGGTGTTACCCAAATTGTGTGATCTTCCTGTGTCAGTCTTCAAAAGAGCAGGCACTGCAAGCACGTGTCCCATGGCCGGCTAGATGAACTTACTTTAAACTGCAGCACTACCACTTAGTAGTATCCTGACCATGTACAATGTCTAAATCTCTGAAAGTTCTCATTTTTCTCTTCTGTAGTAAAAGAATAATATCTAATTCAAAGGGTTACTATGATAAATAAATATAACACACAGTACTTGGCGATATAATAATTCTTCAATAAATTCTATCTATCACCAATAAGAACAACTTGAATGCAAGATAAGAACATTTATACCATATCTTTGAGTACAGCAGTGTCTTCTAGAGTTGATACAAACGAAGTGATAAATGATTTTACAACTCTGAACAGTTTAAAAATGGAAAATTAAGACACATCAGCTATATCTGACATCTAAACAGAGAGTGAACAGAAAGTATGGGACAGAAGAGGTAATTGGGATACATACTCATTAAAGGAAATTTGGAAGCCAAAAACAAACATACGCAAACGTTTTAAGTTTACGATTGAACTTTGATGTCCAATGAAGTAAATTATTACCAACTACCATCCCAACTGTGAAGAACCAAGAAACATCCTGGAACATGAGCAGTGTGAAGTAAGTGCAGTTTTCCCTTTTTCTTCATACTGTTTATTTGTACTCATTTATTTTAGAAGATTATGATGAAAGCAAGCGCAAACAAAATATATACTAGAAATATATCCCAGTTCCCAGTGTGGCATATAAGGAGCTTAGAAGTAACCACTCCACACTAACAATAAGTAAAAAGCTGAACAATCAACAACTTTTCTTAGATCCATCAAGAAGCTGAGGCCACAGGGCAAACTGCTGCTCCTGAACTGGAGAGACATACTGAGGTAGATATAGAGAATCCCAAGTTACCAAAGTTGAAATTCCAGAACCCTCTGCAGAGACCAGTACTAGGGTGGGAAAACATCAAATATAATTGAAAAAATGTGGAGACTCAGTATGGCTATTTCTGAGGGTCAAAAACACCTCAAACACACACACACTTTTGTGACTTTTATTTCCAGAACTCTACCAGGTCTTCTCAGTAAGTATCAGATAAAAATCCCTTCTGGTTTCCAAGGAGGAAGAGGAGAAAAGAACTATTTTGAAATATTCCAGAGCATTCTGTTCTTATTTTATCTAAACTCATTTTATTAGAGTCCAGCTGGTTGGGGTTT